AGGCCAAGGCCAGCCTGAGCTATGTAGTGGGACCTGTCTCAAGACAAAAGTTAAACAAAAGAACCCTTAATACTTAAGAAGGATTGCCATTTATTTTGACATAGTTTATAGTAATTGGCCAGAGAATGAAAAGAAACATGTTCTAATGGATGAAATTATTCCTATTTTACTTTTTGTTTATCAACCAAACACATTCTAACTTGGGGGACATTTTCCACTTTTTCATTTTATACTGGTACTCCTCCAAGGTAGTTCCTACCCTGCTCCGTTTTACCCTCACGTGTGTTGGGAGTTATCCTTATTTAGTGTCCTCACTTGACCCCCTCTTTGCTACCTCACCTTTGTCATGGTCACCATGTGATCTAGGTTTGAGGTAAGAGGAGATAGATTGCCGGTTTAGTAGAAGCAGACATACTGAGACCATTGCCTACAGGTTGATTTTTGTGGGCAGGGAAAGGCAATTCTAGTTTTTGTTTTGCTTTATTTTAAATAAAGCAAACAAAACCATATTAACTTGTTATCTGTGAAGCTGTCATCTTTTTATTTAAATTTAAGTGTTTCATATTTTAATGGGGAGACTAAAATGGGTATAGAATTCAATTATAAAGTAAAACTTAAGTGTTGCTATCTATAGTAATTTTCTCCTTAAAAGTCATTATGTTTTTGAAAACTCAGAAGTGTTTTTACAATTACTGACTTATCAAATTTGCATTTTGTTAAGCAATACGAGGATTCTCTCCACCACATAGAATCTGCAGTTTTGAAGAGGCAAAGGGTTTGGATAGGATCAATGAGAGAATGCCACCCCGGAAAGATGCTGTACAGCAAGATGGTTTCAATTCCCTGAACACCGCACATGCCACTGAGAACCACGGGACTGGCAACCATAGTGCCCAGTGACCAGCGGCTTCCCAGGGACTCTTAGGTCTTGGACCCCAAATGGACAGATCACCCAAGAAACTGGAGGGGTCGGCCAAGCTGATGATAAATGTCACAATCTCTCTGAAGAAACCATTGTGCTTTTTGAGACCCTTGCCCCCTTCCCGGATGGATGCTTGAGGGCCCTGGGACATGTGTTGTCTAATAAGATTGGGTAATCGCTGCCACAGTGGAGAGCAGTGAGCAAGGGGATTGGGGCAATTTCCAGTGGAGGATATCTACGCCTCCATTTATGCTTGTGGTTCACACATTTACGTTTACAAATGAGATTCCTGTTTTGTTTTGTTTTCTCAGTAGAATTAGGGTTTTTTTCAACCATGAGTTTAAATCCAATCTTTAGAGTTAATGTGGACTCTCCCCTACCCCATGAAATGTCTTTAAAAGGATGAATTAGCATGGTCTTAAAATATATTTCTGAGGTTACTAGCTGTATTTTGAATTGTAGGCAAAATCTGAGAAACCCAGTTGGTGTTTATACAAAATGCTGACCTCAGGTCTATAGTTCTTAAATGTGGCTAATTCTGTAACATAGTCTTGGTATTTTTCAATTATGAATGCATAAACTATTTCTAAGAAGACTCTTACTTGAACACAAATCCAAAAACCAATTTAGAATCTTTTTTGCCCATGTCTTTTGAGATTTACACCCCAGAGATTTAAGGGGAAAAAAAGCCTAAATTTTCAAATTATGAAGAATTACAGAATTACTCATTTAAGGAACTTTAAAAGAAGTTTGTACATTGTCAAAGTAAATTTTAATTCAAATCATGTCTGTAAAACTTGACATATTTTGTGTATGCACGTTTTCATTTTGCAAATATTTAATATATAGACCTATGATGTACAGGTACATGATGTATAGGTTACTTAGGTGTCATGAGAAATTTTAGTTTATTGTGAGTATTCCAGTTGCTTAAAAAACCACCAGGGTGATTTGCTGCTGGCTTTCTATCATTTTTATGTTTAAGTGCAAAGGAAAATTTAAAATGTCTGGAAATGTTTTTGATTAAGTAATACAGCCTAGAAGCAATGGTTCTTTTCAACTCTTCAGATGTTAGTGGAAGCATAAAAGTCAAGACTGCATGTTGAAATTTTACTTTTGATAGTTACAGAACTGCTTGGTTAAGCTAAATGGAACCATGTGCTAATTTTACACAGTTACTGACCTGTGCTGATTGCCACTGTAGTTTGGTATTTCCCTTTACTTTGGTGGCCTGCTTCCTCTCATGCCCTGGAATACAACTCAGAGCTCCAGGCAGCGGAACCATCTGTTGTTTTGTTTGCCAGAAAGTGCACCCTGTATGGTCTCCTGTCTAAGTTGAAAATGTTATGCATGTGCAGGACTATTCAAGTATTTTATAAACAGTAGCACACAATAAATTCCATGCATGGGCCGCTGCTCCTATCTCTGTGTTGGGTTTTATTTGAAAGATCTAGTCTGATTTAGCCTTTTATGCATATTGTAAAATTCTGTTCTTTGAGCTAGAATAGCCTTCAGAGATCATTCTATAGATAACTAATGATTTCATGAATTAAATTCTTGCCTTTATAAATTTTACTTGTTTCCCCCTTAAACTTTTGTTATACTTTTTTTTTAATGTGAATAGTTGTGCATTGGAGAACTTTGAATACCTACAGCAATCTTCCAAAATACAATATTTAAAGTCACTTGGGGCTGGGGATATAGTTCAGTGGAAGGGTGTTGCCAGTCATGTTCAACCCCCTACTGCCGTAAATATAATAGAAGTCATTGTTTTCGCCAACTCTCAGTTGAAAGAAATGTTCTAGTCTTGGACTTTGTTAGAGTGATATTGATAAACTGTGTTAGGATATTGGGTAGTTTAACAATAGGCAAAATACTAATGTATGGTTACTCTGAGATTGTGCATTTCCTCTGCCATTGTTGAAGTGAATATAATTTTGTGCAAATCGAGAAATTGCTCACAATTTATAATATGACAAATAGCTTTAAACAGCAACTATGATACTCATGAAGCATCAGTTTATATCAAAATATATATTTTTGCCTAATTTTAGATAAAAATAGAATCTAAAGTTTTTTATTATTGTTCAACATAATATTGATTTGTAAACAGTCCATTTGCTGCCTCTAAAATTACTATATACTTTATAGATTTTTCGTAAATTTTTTTGAAAATTACATTGTTAAAGTAGGAACTTAACTAGTATATTAAGTGCTAGGAACTTAGCACTTTGATTTCTTACTAGGGTTATATAGTATTTGTGAGAGTCACAGGTAAGCATAAGACATCATTATCAAACTTGAAGAGTTGCAGGTTGGTGTTAAAAATTAAGAAGGAGAAATCAGTGTACCTGAAAATGGTAGGTAGACTGTCATCCAGCCTCACAGACTTCTTACAGATTAATAAAATGGGAGCCTCTTTGTAGTCTACACCCTCTTCCTCCTTCCCCTCCCTCTCTCCCTCCCTCCCTCCCTCCCTTTCTTCTGAAAAGAGTCTGTGTAGCTGAGATTATGCTTCAACTCATCTATCCTCTTGCCGCAGCACCCCTAGAGCTAGAATTTTTAGTCATGAACTACGTACGATACCTAGCATTTCATCTTCATGGATATAGTTTTACTAAAAATGGTTAAATGATAATTTTCATTGTAACTCCTAATGCAAATTGTGGGGATTTCAGACCTCTAAGTTTTTACTTTAAATGTCTACCAGTGTAGGTAGCATTGCTAAAGTAGAAATATCCCCTATCAATTTTTTGCCCTGTCACTATCCTTTATATTCAAATATGACATCTCTGAGTTGGCAGAGTCAGTCTGATTTTTTTTTTTTTTTGTACCTTCTGGTTCAATCTTTAGCAACAGAACTCTTAACCCCATTGAAGGTCATCATTTAATTTTGAGGCCATTTTAATTTGAAGTCAGCCTTGAAATCTTTATTCACCTCTATTTCATCAGTGTTTTTTAATATTACAATTTCCTTTGTTTACAACTGTTTTATATGGTATTATGTAATATGTCATTGACTCCTTTGTAGTTCATGCATTACAGTTTAAGATTCCTTTGGAATCCTTTGTGTGAAAACTTTGTAATTTGATGTACTACATTCTAGGACCCCATTGCAGGACCCCATTGTTTCCAGAGGCAGGTAAGTGACACCTGTGGTCATGAATGTAAGCGAAAAGGTGGGGAGGGAAGGTGGGTTGTTTTTAGTTGTATAGAACTGCTGTCAAAATAATATGCTGTTAGGTTCTTCAGCTCTGTAGTTATAAGTGGAAGGAGCTAGGAAATGTGGTTGAACTTCCTGGATCAGCATCCCTGACCAGGTTTGGAAGGGTAACTGAGTTAAGTTTCCTTATAAATTGTATGTATTTTTACTCAGTAACAAAAATATTGGTCTTCCTATTTTGATATTCCAGAAGCATTTTTTCCTCTTCTGAAATTGTCATGTAGAATGTCCTTTGACACTCTTCATTTAGAGAATACTTTAGGCTCCTTTCAGTGAAATGTTTTTACAAAGTAGTTCTTGGTTTTCCTATAGTTAAGTTTGTTGTACAATTAAATGCCATTTCTCTCTTCCTTTTTGGGTAATTATATTTATACTTGAGCCTATTTTGGATATAGTTGAATTCTGTTTGAGCAGTGTGTTAGTCTAAAAAGGGACATTGGGCTCAACCTTTCCCAAAGATTCCTTTTCCATTGGTCTGGTGCCTATCCTTCTAGCCAAATATTGGTTCTTTAATTAATCCCAAGGGATTTCCCCCCACCCTACCCTATTCCCCATGAAGCTATAAAGTGAGAGCAGAAATACTACCTTGAGAGACATCCAAGACGTCGTAAGTTTCATCTTTCCTCATCTTGCCTGGCTACAGTGAGCTGGGGGAGGGGGGGATGTTGACAGAGTCTAGAGCCCTCCTGGCAGAGAATAAGGGTCAGAAAGAGAACTCGAGCAGGTGTCCAGGTCCTGACTTGCCTCGTTAGGGAGAATTCAGCCTTGTCTGTCTGGTTGGCAGGGCACCCTTAAGTCACTGATACCCAGCATTTCAGCAGTTTGCAGAAGAAGTGATGTGAAGGAACAGCTGCAATTGAGATTCAGCCTAGATCTGAAGAGATCAAGCGTTGAGTTCACTTGGAGGAAAGAGAAGGAAGGAAGCCTAGGGCTTAGCAGGGTAAGTTACTTTCCCATCAATCTGTCTACTTAGTTCATTTTATAATTCTGTAAAGTATCACTCAAGGGAGTGTTAATCACTGATTAAGTAGCTAATGTTGTCTGTTCTTTTGTTGTTGTTTTTGAGGCTGGGTAGCTCTGGCTGTCCTGGAACTAGCTTTGTAGACCAGGCTGGCCTCAAAATCAGAGATCTGCTTGCCTCTGTCTCACAAGTACTAGTGTTAAAGGTATGTTTCACTACCATCTGGCCAGAATAGCAATATTTTATATGTACTTTCCCCTTTCATGACCTTCTCCCCACATTTGGCGGTTCTTTGGTTTTTGAGATACTGTCCAGACTGGCCTCCAACTCATGATCATCCTGCTTCAGCTTCTTAAGTGCTGGAACAAATTTTCATTATGCCTGCCTTCCCCTACCCTTTAGAGGAGCCCAGGGGCCATCTGTACTTTCCCCTGTCTGCCCACCACTGTCTGAAAGGTGTATTTGCTGATGGATTTAAGAAACTACAGTGAGATCTCAGTCTGGAGACGATGAGAATATGACTCTATCTTATGTGAAATAAATGGGACTTTTGTTAAAGGGAGGGAGGAAGGAGGAGAGTTCTGTTTAGGAATAAGTTAATGATTTAGGTTAGACTTTGGAGACGAAGGATAAGAGTTTTTCTAGAAGCCAGCTTACATTTCTGTAGTCAGTGGTGTTTTCTCTTTAGTTATCAGGATGGGCAGAAAGAAAAAAAAAAACAAAAAACTAAGTCATCTCTTTTGTAGGTTAAGTAAGCTAAACGTTGCTGAGTTCTTAGTGCTTACCAAAGCTCTTTCTGGTTTCACCCTTGCATATACTCTGGGGTCCGTGTCCCCCCCTTCATTTTTCTCAGTCTTATACCCCTTGAATTTGGAGGAGCTTGAGACTCTGGGAAAGCTAGAACCACAGACTGAGTGTACAGTATACAAATTCAGAAATACAAACACACAACACATATACGACATACATCTAATGACTTTTCATTCCTACATTCTCACCTTCCTGTCAGATAACGAGTACATTTATAATACAAGTCATCAGTATGCTCTGGATATACAGGAGTTTGTGACATAAGGGATTTTCCATAGCCAGTTTTTCCTCCAAGTGGTGCAGAGCTTTTGATTTCTGTATAATAATGTCTCACCCTCCTATGTATACACATTTCTGAGAGTGGATCTACCATTGGAGGAAGGCATTCTTGAAAATACATAAATGAAGCAGTATCTTTCTAACTATGGAAAAAGGTTATGGGCTAGTTTGAGGAAGATGATCATTATAAACCCTTGGGTGTAAGGCTGTACATCTGTCCAGTTAGATATACTTTCACCTGGGGAATGGTTCTAGCATTTAAATGCTTTTCCTAGAATGCTGTGATTCTGGAAACACACTGGACATAGGAGTATGTATGATGGTTAAAAGTGGATGGCAGGAAGCTGGCTATAGCTCAGAGTACTTGCCTAATTTATAAGCCCTGGGGTCAATCCCCAGCACTCCACAAACTGGGTGTGAAAGTACATGCTTGTAATTACAACACTAGCAAGTGGATGCAGAAGAATCAGACGTTTATGATCATCTTTAGGTACACAGTTCAAGGCCAGCCTGGGCTACATGAAACCCTGTTTCTAAAAAGACAAAATGAATGCAGGTGGACTGGGAGTTTTACTTGTTGGCAGAATACTGCTTTTTATACAGAAGGTCCTAGATTTGATCCCTAGTATCATGGAAGGAAGGATCAATTACAGGCATAATCAAGTTCTTGGAAATGGGACTCAGAGGTATAAAGAGGAGTGATTCCCACTTACACTTTAGTACAGGGACATGACTTGTAAAACTTAAGGCCGTTTGTTTTCATTAAGTCCAATGTCCTCACGGGTGTTCTATAGAGAATGCAGATGAGCTTTCATTGTCTCTGTTTTGCGAATGCCAACAAACCATTCCCTCAGGTTGAGGAGAGATACTGGAAGGGTAAATGGAAACACGAAGGATGAGAGAAAGAAAGCGCAAGAGAAAAATAGACATTTTTTCTTGATTCTTCTATGAACCTCAGGCCATTGATTTATAAGAGTAGCATTTAAAGGGGTATGAGCTGAATGATTCTGGAAATACTTGGATTTTGCCACCTGTGTACATTTCGCAGCTCCATGATGGTTTTGTACACTTCCCTTTAACAAATCTGATTGTAAAGGATCAAATGTCAGGCCATTTTTATAACAAAACATGATCCCTGATGTGAACTTTGTTACCTTGTTTGCAGTAGAACCAGCTGCTGCTGGTGTTTTTATCCTCTATCCTTTTCTTGTCCCTGGAGATAGTAAACCTGGATATTAATAGCTTTATCCTCTTCATGTTTACAGATATCTTCATTTCTTAAGTACTTTTTTCAGGTAGAGGAGAAATTTACATATGAAATTTAAAATTTTAAAAGTTAGCAATTAAATGGCATTTAGTGGTCTGTTGATATAGTTCAGTTGGTAGAATGCTTACCTAGTATGTACGAAACCCTGGGTTTGATTTTCATCACTTATAAACCCAATATGGGCTTGGTGTGTTGGCGCACGCCTTTAATCCCAGTACTCGGAAGCAAAGGCAGGCGGATCTCTGGGAGTTTGAGGCCAGCCTGGTCTACTGAGGTAGTTCCAGGACAGACTCCAAAGCTACAGAGAAACCCTGTCTTGAAAGAACAAAACAAACAAACAAAAATACCCAGTATGGGAGTATACTTGTCATTGGAATACTCAGGAGATAGACTCAGAAGAATCAAAATTTGAAGTTCATTCTCATCTCCATAGGAAGTTTGAGACCAGTTTGGGATACTTGAAACGCTTTGTTTTTGTTGCTACTTATTTTGCTTTTTCAAGACTGGGTTTCTCTGTTGCTCTGGCTGTCCTGGAACTCACTCTGGGTACCAAACTGGCCTCACACTCACATAGATCTGCCTGCCTCTGCCTCCACCACCACCCAGCTTTAATTTATTATTTTTTTAATTTATTTATTATGTATATAATGTTCTGGGCACCAGATCTCATTATAGATGGGTGTGAGCCATCATGTGGTTGCTGGGAATTGAACTCAGGACCTCCAGAAAAGCAGTCAGTTCTCTTAACCTCTGAGCCATCTTTCCAGCCCTATTATTATTTTTTAAAGTATATTCAAAGAGTTATAAACCTCTCTATCTAGATCTAAAACATTTTCATCCATAAAAGAAAATTCAACTTTTGAAGCAGTTATTCCTCTTCTCCATCCACTCTATGATAACTGTCAATCTCTCTCCCAGTTTACTCCCTCTCCCTTTTGTCTTCCCAACATATAAATCCCAATGTGTTCATTATTCATTCATTATTGGACCTTTAGTTGTTTCAATTTACTATCTGGACAGTGTTGTTGTGGGCGTTCAAATGAAAACATTTATTAGATAACCATTTTCAATTGTTTGGAGGAGCCTACCCAAGAATGAAATTTCTTTATCATGTAGTAATTTTATGTTACTTGCCTCCCTTCTTCCCTCCCTCCTTTGTTCTTTCTTTTCTTTTTGTGAGACATTGTATTCCTTGCTAGCCTTGAAATCACTTTATAGTCCAGTCAGGTCTAGAATATGCCCTGTGGCAGTCCCCCTGCCTCTGAAGTACTGAGATTATAGGTGAAAGCCATACATGCCCCCCCTTTATTACTTTTTCAATAGCCATCTTTATGGGGCGACGAAAAGATATTTCATTATAGTTCTGATTAAGAATTTCTTAATGACCAGTGAACATCTTTTCCACGTATTTTCCATTTGCATATTTCTTTGGAAAAATAACCTACTTAAATATCTTGTCCCTTTTTAATGCATTTCTTTTAATTTTTGAGAATTTCAGACATATATATTATATTTTGATCAGATATACCTCTCATTTTTCCCTCAAATTCTGCATCCTCCACATACACCATACACACAACAGGACCCACTCCCAAATTCATTTCTGTTTAAAACAACCCATTCAGTCCAGTTAGTGGTGCCTGTATGTATATGGGTTTGGAGCCATCCATTGGATCATGAGGACACTTCTTCCAGTGACCACACTCCCCTCAGTTGCCAGTAATTCTTCTGTTAGGAGTCAATACCTCCTGAACTCCTTCCCACACATGCTGGAATTTTGACTGGCTGATCTGTTGATTTTTGTACAGGGGACCACAGTCTGATTTTATGAATAAACACCATGTCATGTTCAAAAGACAGAATTTTGTGGCATTCCTCTCCATTTTCCAGTTTTATATTATTTTTCCTCCCCCCAGACAGTGTTCCCTGAATCTTGGTGGGCTTGGGTATGATATAGATGATAGTTGTCCCATTTAGGCCTGAGCACTCAAGGTCACATATACCAGTTATGTAGTTCTCCATTAACTACTGTGCATTGTAAAAACTGCTCTGACCAGGGCTGAGAGTAGTACAGACCTATGGGAATAAAGGTAAACATTTAGAAAGAAGTTTGACAACATAGACACTTAGCAAAAACAACAGTCTTAGTTTCCCCCTAGGGCCTATGAATGCCCCACTCAGACTTTTGACCAGGTTTAGAGTACCAACCATGAATTTCTTCTTGTGTAGCTGGCCTCAAATACAATCAGTTGCAGTTGGTTACCTCCATAATGGCCATGCCACTATTTTACATTCAGTGAGCATTTATTTATAATTTTATTTAATTATTTGTTTATTATTTTATTTATAATTTTAGGGCCTAACACTGGGTAAGGCCATTGATGTTTTTTTCTCCTCCAGCAGACAGCATAGCACCTCTGGCACTATGAAAGCTAGCCAGCAGAGAGAACGTTTCCTGGTCAGTTCTGTATGTCTTGTACCCAAAATATGTATTGTCTTCAGCTATAGGTCTTCAGCATCAACTTAGGATAGACTTTGCTTGTTTTTAGTTGGATTGTTTATTGTCTGTTGTTCATAGGGTTGGGTGTTGTTTTGAGACAAGGTCTCACTGTGTGACTGGGTACTGGAACTCAGAAATCTGCCTGTCTCTGCCTTAAAGGTGTGTGCCAACACGGCTGGTAAGAGTTTTGTTTTTTGGAGTTGTTGCGGAGACGGGAGTTGAGACTGGGTTTCTCTGTAGCTTTGGAACCTGTCCTGAAACTAGCTCTGTAGCCCATGCTGGCCTCTAACTCACAGAGATCTGCCTGCCTCTGCCTCCTGAGTGCTGGGATCAAGAGTTTTTTTTTATGTATTCTTATTAACCTCCTTATGAGTGTAACTTACAAATATTTCCTCTAATTCTTTGGGTTGTTGTTTCACACTGTTGATGGTATCTTGGCATTTTTTCAGTAGGTCTTAGATTATTCCTGTCAGTATTTCTACAGTCGGACTTTTCTTTGTATTCAAAAGTCCTTTTCCCTGTCTAGGTGCCTTCAGGGTATTCCTGTCATTCGAGGTCAATTCCAACTGCTTTCTGCTTCATGAAGTCACCTATAACTTACTCACTACGGAGATATCTTCTGCTCTCCCATTAGTGCTTTCTAGAAGATTTCATCATACTTTATAGTTCGTATATGATACCCCCATTTAGATGAAATGTATAAGTTTCTTCCTGTTTTCAATTGACAGGGTTTCTTTGTTCTAGCCCAAACTGGTCTCAGACCTGAGATACTCTTGCCTAAGCCCTCTGCTGAGATCACAGGCATATGCCCAACAGAAATATATATAATATTTTACAAGTGATTTTACCTGTTGATCAGTAAATATACATTGGATAAATGGAAGTTTTAAGTTTTTTAGTATGATCTTTCGTGAGTAGGCACAGGTAAAAGAAAAGACAGGAAAGGAAACTTGGGTATCACAGAGTCCCAGCTAGACTAATGGATGGATATGACCTTGATTTTACTTACAAATTTCTATGTTTTAGAGATTTTCTTCTTAATTTTCTAACATGGTTTTTTTTTTTAAGATAAAGTGACCTTTTATTTTCTTTTTCCCCTTGATATGCTAAACTGTTTTATTTATTTGAGATAGGGTTTCTCTGTGCAACAGCCCTGGCTTTCTTGGTACTCATTTCATATCCAGGTGTCCTCCTTGAACTCACAGAGATTCGCCTTTCTCTACCTTCTTAATGCTGGGATTAAAGGTGTGTACCACCACCTCTGACTGCTAAACTCTTTTAAATTCACATTTACCATTCCAATTTTAGTGTGTGTGCTGCTGAAGTGAGTGTCTGAATTGCTCTATCTATCTATCTATCTATCTATACACACATTGTGTTTATTAAGTTTATTTCTTTTAATTTTTCAAGCAAATTTAAATGCACTTTTATTTTATAAGTTTGATTTTGTTGTTGCTGTTGGGACAGAGTCTCGTGTGTGTGTGTGTGTGTGTGTGTGTGTATAGAAATGAATTATTTCTTTCACGCACAGTGATATTTTGCCTGCATGTGTGTTTGGATGAGGGTGTTGGATCCTTTGGAGTTACAGACAGATGTGAGTTGCCATGTGGGTACTGGGAATTGAACCTGGTCTTCTGAAAGAGCAGCCAGTACTCTTTAACTGCTAAGGTACCTCCCCTGCTTTTACTATATTTTTGCCTTTCTGATGCTCATTTTATATTGCACTTACTGTATATTTTTAAGTTTATTACTTATAATTTTTTCAAGCAAATTTAAATGCACTTTTATAAGTTTGATTTTGTTGTTGCTGTTGGGACAGAGTCTCATTGTGTAGCTGTGGCTGTCCTGCAGCTTGCTGTGTAAACCAGAGTGGCCTCAAACTCACAGAGTGCCTGACTTTGCTTCCTGAATTCTGAAATTATGATGCATGTAGCACCCCACCTGACTATCTTGTTATTTGGAAAAAAAAAGATTTTTTAATTACATTTATTTATGTATGTGCACTTGCATATACATGTGTGCTTGTGAGCATTTGCACAGAAGTCAGAGAACAACTTTCAGAAATTGGTTTTCCTTTGATAACATGGGTTTCCAGGATCAAACTCCAGTTGTCAGTCTTGACTACTTACTGAGCCTCCTTTCTGGGCCCACTGTTTTTTTCTTAAATAGATAAGCCAGTGCCTCTACTCCAAATAAATTGTGGTTTAAAAAAAAATAAAAATAAAAGGCAGGTGGAGCGATGAGCGATGACTCAGCAACACTTAACTGCTGCTCTTCCAGAGGACCTCGGTTTGGTTCTCAGCAATTCACATGGTAGCTCAAAGCTGTCTGTAACTCCAATTCCAAGGATCTGACACTCTATTCTGATCTTCACAATACCTGGTGTGCACACAACACATGTACATATGTACAAGAAAAACACCTACAAAAATCTTCTAAAGAAACTTCAGGACATGAAGTTATTCAGTGGGATAAAGTGTTTGCCCAGCAAGCTTAATAACCTAAATTTTACCCCTGGAATACAAATGAAAAGGCCAATTCTTTTGGGTCTTGTACTCTGTAAAGATTTGTCACTTTACAGTAGCCAATAGCCAGTCAGGAGGTATAGGTGGGGTGACCAGAATAGAATTCTGGGAAGAGGAAAGGCTGTCTGCAGTTGTCACCCAGACTTAGAGGAAGCAAGATGAGAATGCTTCACTGATAAAAGGTACCAAGTCATGTGGCTAACACAGACAAGAATTATGGATTAATTTAAGATGTAAGAGTTAATTAAAATATGTGTAAGCTACTGGTCAAACTGTTATAATTGATATAGTTTATATGTTATTATTTGAGTCTGGGCAGCCAGGAAACAAATGAACAGTCACTGCTTACACAACTCCATAGCACATGTCTATAGTTTCTTTCTCTTAGGTCAAGATGGGAGATAGAGACAGAATTTCCTAAAAAGTTATGAGCCACCTAGCCTGGATTGCACAGTGAGGCATACATAATAAAAGGGATCCTGCCTCAAATGAGGTGGAAAGCGAGAGACAACTCCAGAAGTTGTTCTAAATTCCACATACACATTGCAGTATGTGTCTGTCTGCATTTTACACATAGATGTAAAATAAATTCTTTAAAATTATCAGTTAGGGCTGGAGAGATGGCTCAGAGGTTAAGAGCACTGACTTTCCTTCCAGAGGTCCTGAGTTTGATTCCCAGCACCCACATGGTGGCTCACAACCATCTGTAATGAGATCTGGTGCCCTCTTCTGGCATGTAGGCACACATGCAGCCAGAACATTGTATACATAATAAATAAACAAATCTTTAAAAAAAAAAAACAAAAAAAATAAAATTATCAGTTAGTTCCATTTATCTTAAGTCCTAGTATTGTTCAGATGACAAAACATTAGCCAGATATCCTGGCAGGCAATAGATCCCAGTTTGTAAACATTTTCCATTTTTAAACTGTCATTTAAAAAAAAAAAAAACTTTTCTAGAGTCACACCATCTTTATGTTAGGACTGAACCGTGACATTTTTATTCAGATGTTCCTAGTGAAAAACTGGTAGTTATTTAAATTAGCCTGATGTGCTTAATTATTCTCCCTGTCATAAAGGTTTTACAGTTTCTGGTCTCTGTTCTCGTTTGCTCTTGAGTAATTTCATATCATCTTTGATGTACTTATAGACTCTTTTGGTAAAGCTGGATCACTGTCAACACCAGTGATTACTATGCTTTAAATATTTTTCTTTTTGACCTTCAGTGGAGGCATTTCCACCAGTGTTACCTTTTATCCCATTGTCCTCCCAGCGTACATACCTCATAGAATAACTTGTCATGGCTGATGAGGTCCTAGTGGATGGATCAAGATGGTGACTAGAGCCACAGCACTAGTTTAGAATGTGCTCACAGAAGAGAGTACAGGGTGGAGAGGAGAGCCAGCGGGACAGGTTGATGCCTGTTTATGTCTTATCTCCACAATTCATAACAGGTTAGGTTAGCCAATTTTCCAGCTACTGGTAACTTTGGTTAGCCAAAAACTTGTTGCATTTTCTTCTTTTTTAAAGTTAATTTAACAGTCTGTGCTGAGACATATAGGGTAGCACACAGCTGGGCTACATAAGAATCTGCTTCAAAACAAACAACAAAAGATTCTATGTGTTTAATATATTAGTACTTTATAAAAGAGTTCTGCTGGGGATGTAGTTGACGTGGTATAGTGCTTACCTAGCATTCATGGATGTGGTCTTAGCACTTGGGAAATGGAGCCAGAGGATCAGGAATTCAAAGTCATCCTCAGAGACATAATGAGTTAGGGGCCATCCTGGTCTATATGACCTGTTCCCTCCCACTTCCCCAAAAAATCAAACATTGACAAGGCTAGGGTCTACTTTACTCAACCAGTTCCTATCCACTGCTTCTTTAAAGATTTTGTAATTCCTTACATTGTACATTTATTTACCTGTATATAATACATATATCACACACATGCATAAATTATATTGTATGTAATTATTCTCTTGTTTTTGTTTAAGAGTGGGTCTTGCTGTGCAGCAGGCCAGGCTGGCCTGCAACTCTGCATTTTCCTTTACCTCCTGAGTACTAGTATTATAGAAGTGAGCCACCATGTGCCTAGTGGTCTCCTCTTTTTTTTATAACTGCTTATAGCAATAACCAATCCATAACTAATAAATAAATTTTCTCATAGCCATGCCTCAGAGACTTGAATGTGAAGTAAAAGGTCAGGCATCTGAATACATGATTTCATTTTGTCAAATTCCATCCCCGTTTAGCGTCTTGTCCCCAAGTTCATTGGACATGGCTCCACGTTCACAACGGCGAAAGCACAAGAAACCCCCGCCTGTGACTCCCATGGTTGTAATCCCACCCACAGAAATATCTTCGGAACCTTCAACCCTCTTAAAAGCTGACCCTAGCATTGATGCACTTGGCTTCATTTCCTTGGATAATAATGTACCAGGTCTGTCCCAGTTGATACTTCAAAAGCTGAACATGAAAAGCTATGAAGAATACAAGTGAGTGATGAGTCTGTGGAAAGGGGCTTAGTGTCTTTGGTGCTGCATATCAGAAGATGGAAGTATAATAGGGAATTTTCTCATTCTGACCTCTGTCAGTTACGTTAGTATCGTCATCGTCATCATCTATGCCCCGGCAATGTTTAAGCATGCTTGGGCATCCTGTTTATGGCAGTTCTCCAGTTGTTTCTATCCTGGGGAGTCCTAGATGTTTGTATTATTGTCATACCCAAGGTTCCACAGTCTTCCTTTATGCTAGAAGAAATATAATTGCTAAAGAAAAATGGAAGTGGGATACATTTAAGATTACATGAAAGTCTGTACAAGGTGGAGGAAGCACAGAAGAGATTTGGGAGATACTCCTCACTGTTGCGCTTTCTTCCCTGCTATGTCTACAGGTTGGTAATAGATGGGGGAACCCCAGTATCAAGCTTTGGATTTCAGTGTCCACAAGAAATGTTCCAGAGGATGGAGGACACGTTTCGATTCTGTGCTTACTGTAAAGCACTCCCTTGCAGACTTCCAGATCACAAGGTTCTCCGGCACTGTAAGAGGTGACTTGTGGGGTGCTAGTGGGGGAACATTCAGAAATAATCCTATATTAAGTGCTTATTCCTAGAGGAACAACCGTAAGGGTTTTTTGATTGTTTTTCTTTTGCTTATTTTTTGTTTTCAGAATTAATAGTTTCTCATTTTGTGTGGCCCCAGTTTTAATCCTGTTTATTTTTGGTTTTGTGGGAGATGAAAGAGCAGATGTTCTTCTACTTTCTTCTTGAGTACACACGGGCTAAGATCACATCTGTTCCAAGAAAGTTGAGGTGGTCACTCTTGTTAAAAGAAAGCATGGGCAAAGTGTGTGACTTTTTGTTTTGTTTTGTTTTAGTTCACCCCTGCCCCCCTGAAAGAGTGAAAAACGTAAATTTTAGATAGGTGGAGTGGAGCAGCACTGTATTGAGAACTGCATTCCTTTGGCTTCCCTGCCAGCGTGACTTCCCCTGCCAGCGTGGCTTCCCTGCCAGCGTGGCTCCCGCATTTGGGTTTTCACCTGTCATTCTTCTCTGCATCCTCTTCACCAGTTCATTGGCCCATCTTCGAACACACGCAGTCGCCTTTGTGACAGAGGGACATGTTTCTTTGGTTCATTCTCTCAGGTGCAGAAATGTCTATTACTGTGATACAGAGTGCCAGAGGTCAGATTGGCCAGCACATAGGAAGGTTTGTCAAGTGCTCCGTCTTGTGGCTGTAGATCGTGTCATGGAATGGCTTCTGGTTACAGGTAGAGTAGGGGTATTAGGAAATTGTATCTTAGTGATAATTGTTGAATATAGTTGGACAAAAATAAAAGCATGTTGTTTTAAGGGGAAAATGAGAAACGTGACAAGGAATGGGAATACTTGTAGTTACTAGGTGGCAAAATAAATATGACTTATTGAGGAAGGAATTTTGAAGCCAAGGATTTGCTGTTTGTTTGTTTATTTGTTTTTTTCGAGGCAATGTTTCTCTGTAGCTTTGAAACCTGTTCTGGAACTAGCTCTTGTAGACCAGGCTGGCCTCAAACTTACAGAGATCCACCTGCCTCTGCCTCCTAAGTGCTGGGATTAAAGGCGTGCGCTACCACCACCCAGCTGGATTTGCTATTTATTATTTTTTTAAATTATGAATATTTGAGTATGTGTTTGTGCACATGCATGCAGTGTCCCTCGAGGCTGGAAGAAGGCATGTCCTCCCCTAGAGTTTGAATTACAGACAATTGTGAGCTCCCCAATTTGGTTGGTGGGAACCAAACTCAGTTGTTTCCAAAAGCAGTGTGCCCTCTTCTTTCCAGCCCTGTTCACTTACTCCTTCTACCTTACAGGTGATTTTGTCCTACCCTCAGGACCTTGGCCATGTCCAGCAGAAGATATTCAGGATTGGGATGCCTGGTTTACTATGAGGGGTTTACAGCTAGAGTCTACACTGAATACTGTTCTCAGTAGCAATGCTATGACCATGCTTTGGGCCAATCTAGGAAGGCCACAGCCAGAACCTGATGTTCTGTACAGCTCTTTGAAGCGGTTGATAACAGATGTTCTGTCACGGCCCTTGACCCTGGGCCTAGGGATTCGGACTCTGGCCATAGATGTTGGGAAGACTGGAGGAAGCACATTGCATATAGTTGGTGCTTCCCACGTGGAGACATTTCTCATTCGTTCTGGAGATTATGATGAGCTTGGCTATATGTTTCCTGAACATCTTGGCCTCCGTGTGATCATGGTGGGTGTGGATGTGGGTGCTAACCTTTTACAGAGTTCCTCACCTTTACCCCTGGAGCCTGGAACAATTCAGCTTAGTGGCCACAAGGCTCTGTATCATGACTTCTGGGAGGAGCAGATAGAGACTGGGAATCTAGCCCATCCAGATTTGGTGGCTGCATTCCATCCAGGTAAGAGCTATTCATTCAGAGAAATACTGAGGAGCTGATTTTTTCACTCTGTGCTTATGTTTTAGTTAGGGTATTTATTACTAAGATGAAATGCCATGGCCAAAAGAAAGTTAGAGAGGAATAGGTTTATTTGGCTTATACTTGTGCATTCGTAGTCCATCACTGAAAAAAGTCAGAACAGGAATTTAAGCAGGGCAGGAACCAGAAGGCAGAAGCTGATGCAGAGGCCATTGAAAGGTGCTGCTTACTAGCTTGCTCCTCATGGCTTGCTCAACTGCTCTATTATAGAACCCATGACCACCCACTCAGGGATGGCCCCACCCACAATGGGCTGGGCTTTCCTCCATCAATCAGTATTTAAGAAAATGCCTTACAGTCCGATATTATGGACACATTTTCTCAATTGAGGTTCCCTCCTTTCAGATGACTCTAGCTTGTGTCAAGTTGACATTAAACTAGCCAGGAGAACTTACAACTGTTTTCATTTGGTCTTTATTTGTTTCTTTTTTGTCCTCATTAAATACTTGGTTGATTATTTCCCATACATCCTTTGTTGAAGAGCTTGTGTAGCTCATGATGATGAGAACTGGAGATGAACAACATAAGGGTTTAGTAGATAATCAAAGGAGCGTCATGCTCTTAGGATATATCTCAGCCTTTCTTTCATCTCTTCATGTTTCCATTCTTGTTCTTCAGGTTTTCATGCCTCCCCAATCTTGATGGAAGCTTGGCTACCTACCCTGCTGCTACTTCGTGACCATGAGATTCCAACGTTGATTACTGTTTACAGGTTTTTTACCTATTTCTGTTTCTGATCTTTTCTGACTCACTTTTTCCTGTGCACAGATGAGCCCACTTTGATTCAGCTTGCCCCTTAGGAAGGTGTTCTTCCTTCCTGCATGAGGCTCTAAAACAATTTTCTGGGAAGAGTCCTTTATTACATAATCTGGGATTTGGTGAGACATTTGGAAGGGAAGAATAACCCTTGCCTAGTACAGCTTTAGAAAATTATTGGTATTGGTCATGAATTGCCATATACTTGAGCAATTTCTACTCGTTCATAATTACCAGAGGGATTTTCCTTCTCTCTTCTGCAGCCAACAGGAATTGGAAGCCTCTTTGCAGATTCTGGTGAACTTGGATACACACATCATTGCTTGTGGAGCTAATCCTTTCACATCCCTCAAACCTGAACAGGTTTATTCTGACCCTAATAAGCAGCCAGTTTACAGCAGTGCCTACTACGTCATGTTTCTTGGAAGTTCCTCCTGCCAACTAGAGAAGCAATTAGAAGAAAAAGCAGATGACTTTTCAATAATTGAACCAAATCCTGAAAATGGAAGCTTATTCAAATCACTACATTGATGTCAAATTGTTGCCAGCTTTGAGATCTGCTGAATGCTAAACCTTATTCACAGTCCAAGTAAAGATTCTATACCAATGAACGCTCAGTATGACATGACTCATTTCTGATGTTACCCTAGTCCTGGGAATTGAACACAGGGCTTTGTATATGCTAGGGATGTGCTTTACCATTGAGTTATGTTCCCAGCCGTCTGTTGTCATTTGTTTTTTGTTTGCTTGTTTTGAGACAGGCTGTCATGAAGTAGCCTAGACTGGCCTTGAATTTACTAAGGTCTGCGTCAGCCTCACAAGTAGGAGGGGTTTCAAGCTTGTACAAGCTTGTACAAGAAGGCTTGTACAAGCTTGATTTAACTTGTGTCTAAAAAGTTAGCTATGGATAGGTGTGTGTGTGTAAGTGTGAATGTCTCACTGGTTTTTTTTTTTTTGGTAGTCTCCAACAAAGTTGGAACTATATATGCATTTGCCACTGCACAATGGTATGTTGAGGCTTTTTAAATCACTTGTTTTGTTTTCTATTTACAGTCACATACTACTCAACTGCACAAGAAAAAAAGACCTTAAAATTAGAGGATTTGGGGGCTGGAGAGATGGCTCAGTGGTTAAGAACACCAGCTTCTCTTCTAGAGGTTCTTAGTTCAATTCCCAGCACTCACATGGCAGCTCATAACTGTCTATAACTGTGTAGACATACATGCAGACAAATACCATGTACATAAATATATAAATCTTTTTTTAAAAAAATTAGAGGATGTTTTTCTTGCCAAGGGAATGATTAGCATCAGATCTGTTTGGACTGCCGTACCAGTGCACATTGTGTCATTTCCTTACCATCCCCAGGATGTTCGTTTTTAAAGCCTTGTCATGACCTTCATGTGCACATATAACTTTTATTTAATTATTTAATTATTTAATTAAAGATTTCTGTCTCTTCCCTGCCGCCGCCTCCCATTTCCCTCCCCCTCCCCAAATCAAATCCCCCTCCCTTGTCAGCCCAAAGAGCAATCAGGGTTCCCTGCCCTGTGGGAAGTCTAAGGACCACCCACCTCCATCCAGGTCTAGTAAGGTGAGCATCCAAACTGCCTAGGCTCCCACAAAGCCAGTACGTGCAGTAGGATCAAAAACCCATTGCCATTGTTCTTGACTTCTCAGTAGTCCTCATTGTCCGCTATGTTCAGCGAGTCTGGTTTTATCCCAGTCTTTTTCAGACCCAGGCCAGCTGGCCTTGGTGAGTTCCCGATAGAACATCCCCATTGTCTCAGTGTATGGGTACACCCCTCGCGGTCCTGAGTTCCTTGCTCGTGCTCTCTCTCCTTCTGCTCCTGATTTGGACCTTGAGATTTCTGTCCGGTGCTCCAATGTGGGTCTCTGTCTCTGTCTCCTTTCATCGCCTGCTGAAGGTTAATATTTAGGAGGATGCCTATATGTTTTTCTTTGGGTTCTCCTTCTTATTTAGCTTCTCTAGGATCATGAATTATAGGTTCAATGTCCTTTATTTATGGCTAGAAACCAAATATGAGTGAGTACATCCCATGTTCCTCTTTTTGGGTCTGGCTTACCTCACTCAGGATAGTGTTTTCTATTTCCATCCATTTGCATGCAAAATTCAAAAAGTCCTTGTTTTTTACTCTAATATGTATATATTCCATAGTTTCTTCATCCATTCTTCCATTGAAGGGCATCTAGGTTGTTTCCAGGTTCTGGCTACTACAAACAATGCTGCTATGAACATAGTAGAGCATATACTTTTGTTGTATGATAAGGCCTCTCTTGGGTATATTCCCAAGAGTGGTATTGCTAGGTCAAAGGGTAGGTTGATCCCGAATTTCCTGAGAAACCGCCACAGTGCTTTCCAAAGTGGTTGCACAAGTTTGCATTCCCACCAGCAATGGATGAGTGTACCCCTTTCTCCACAACCTCTCCAGCAAAGGCTATCATTGGTGTTTTTTATTTTAGCCATTCTGACAGGTGTAAGATGGTATCTTAAAGTTGTCTTGATTTGCATTTCCCTGTTGAAGTTGAGCATGACCTTAAGTGTCTTTTGGCCATTTGAACTTCTTCTGTTGAGAGTTCTCTGTTCAGCTCAGTGCCCCATTTTATAATTGGGTTGATTAGCCTAATTTTACGGTCTAGTTTCTTAAGTTCTTTATATATTTTGGAGATCAGACCTTTGTCAGTTGCGGGGTTGGTGAAGATCTTCTCCCAGTCAGTGGGTTGCCTTTCTGTCTTAGTGACAGTGTCCTTTGCTTTACAGAAGCTTCTCAGTCTCAGGATGTCCCATTTATTCAATGAGGCCCTTAATGTCTGGTGCACATAGAACTTTGCTTCTCCCAACAGACAATTGCACTTTTTTGTTGATTTTGGGTTTTTTTGTTTAGTTTTGTTTTGTTTTTGAGACAGGGTCTCTTTGTATAACCTTGGCTGTCCTGGAACTCACTCTGTAGACCAGGTTAGCCTCAAACTTAAAGATGTACCTGCATGGTAGTGCACACCTTTAATCCCAGCACAGGGGAGGCAGAGGTGAGTAGACCTCTGTAGAACAGGCTGAAGAATAGACTTTTCAATGAATGTTGCTGGGACAATTGGATAGCCACACGCAAAAGAAGAAAGTTGGAGCCCCAAGCCTATGATATAAAGTGAATTCAAATTGATGTGGGATGTGCATTGATTCCAGTACAAGGCTGGTATGGCAGGAGGTTCAGCAACATGAGGCTGTCCAGGCTACATAGCAAGACTAAGGACGAAGCCGGGCGGACGAAGCCGGGCGGTGGTGGCGCACGCCTTTAATCCCAGCACTCGGGAGGCAGAGGCAGGCGGATCTCTGTGAGTTCGAGACCAGCCTGGTCTACAAGAGCTAGTTCCAGGACAGGCTCCAAAGCCACAGAGAAACCCTGTCTCGAAAAACCAAAAAAAAAAAAAAAAAAAAAAAGACTAAGGACGAGAAGCTTCAGTACTCATGAGGTTCAAGGACATGGTGACATGGCAAGTTTGAATCCAGCCTAAGCTATAATTGAAAGATTTAAGGCAAAGTGACCCTGGCAAGTCCCCTAGCAGGTAGGAGACCGCAGTGGATGGGAGACAGACAGATAACACTATGCAGAGAGAGCTTGGGTATTGGAAAGGGTATAAGGGTAAGGGATTATGGAGGGAAGAAATGGTGGGGGGGGGGGGCAATGGTTGCTTCATCAGAAGAAGGCACAAGATCAGCTTGCCTTAGCAGAAAGAGGGTGGGGGGATTGGGGTGGGTGAAGCTTGTCTCTTAAAGGGACAGAGTACCTACATGACAAGAAAGGTCAGCAGAACAAAACAATGAAAACCTAGCCTCAGACATTCCTTAAAAATGTTCAGAGAGCTAAAGAACTTACATGTGTAGAAGAAAATATATAAGTAAATCTTCATAAACTTGTATGTTTTCTTAGATTATTATACCAGAAACACAAATGTTGGGTATTCAAGCTGACTCAGGCAGCTGGGTGAGGAAAGGCTTGATTTCTCTGACCTGCATAGACTCCCCTTGTAACTCCTGCCCCTGGAGACCTCCAGCTGCTACCCTCCACCCTCAGACTACTCTGGCAGCAGGCCTGTAATGGCCTTCTCAGCCCCGGGAGGAGGGAGAGTGGCCAGGTCTCATTACAGAAAAAAGTGCCCAAGTGCAGGTCAATAACCCCTCTAATTCCAGACTACCCCTCTCCACTCCCAAGAAACCCTATATAAAGCAGGCCTTCTGCTCAGTTCTCTGCTGCTGCTCACCAGAGTAGAAACAGTTACCCTTTCTCCTGTGCCTTTCTGAATAAATCTCTTGTTTGATGTTTGTTGTGCAATATGACTTTGTGGTGTTCCTTGGCTCTCAACTGCCAGCATACCTCTACCTCAGAGCTACAACACAACAAAAACAAACATTGGGTTATCTTAAATTTTATGTTTCAGATATCAAGAAAGTGAAAATGCCTTAGGCTGGTAGATGGCCCAGTGGTTAAGCCTGAAAAACATTGTTGCAGTCTCAGAACCTACTTGGTGGAAAGGAAGAAACATCTCCCTCAAGTTGTCCACTGACCTCTACATTTACATGTGTCCATACAAATACATTTATCTTACACAAATGTACATTTGTGTGTGTAGTGGAGTTGGAGTGTGCTGACGCGTGAAGGTACTTCCTCCACACTTAACCTGTGTGCTTACTGTAACGATCTGTCTAAGAGATAAGCCATGCCCACTTACCCCCCCCCCCCATCCCTGAGGCAGGCTGATCTTCAGCTTCCTACCTGAGTTCTCTCTTGGAGAGGGCAGCTTCAGGAGAGGTCTCTCCTCTCCCTCTCTGCCTCCGCCTCTGCCTCTCTGTTCTTCTCCCCTTCTCCCTTCCCTTACATAACTTCTAAATAAATATCCAACCTCATTCTGCATGGCATGCCTCCGTCTGTGTCTTGCCCACCGCTGCCACATGGCTTGCTGCTGGGGACACCACCACCGGGGACCAGCCACCTTTGGAGACCTGCAGCATGGTCTTATGTGTAGTCCCTGCATAGGACTGGCTGCTCTCAGGACCCCCTGCCCTCTGCCTGCTGCCGCCAGGGATCCCACAGCAAGCTCCTCGGGGATCCACAGCAATTTTTAATAATCTATTACGCTTACCTCACACTTAACTTGAATTTCATCCTTGGGAACCACATGGTAGAGTAAGAGAACCAATTCCTGCAAGTTGTGCTCAGGCCTAAGTACCCAAAAACATGTTTTTGTTGTGAAAAGTGAAGGGCATGCTAGGGAGATAGCTTAGTTACTTGGAAGTGCGAGCCCTGAGAATGCAGAGATGCCAATCACTATCCAGCTAACTGTTCAGAAGTCTCAGTGTGACCATCCTTTAAAAAAACAGATGAAAGGTGTTATGCCCAAATCCGCAAAGTCCCCCAAAAGCCAACAAGGAGATCGAGTTGTCATCTGTCTCCATCCCCCTCCACCTCCGCCCAGTATGTAAAAGCAAAAAAGCCTTTGTTTTATGCAAGCTTGCAAACTCCAGG